CGTTCAACAGCTTGATTATGATGTGTCTAGTTACGGTTTTCTTGATTTCTCATGCTTCGTGAATTCATAAACTTGTGACCAAATTTGGGAAGTTTTTGACCATTATTTCCTCAAATACTGTTTCTGCCCTAGTATTTGTATCCTCTCCTTCTGGAATTTCAATTACACATAAGTCAGACCTTTTGATATTATATCACATGTCTCCCTGTGGTTCTAACCTTTTTTTTCAGTTTTTTTTCAATTTGTTTTTAAATTGGATTATTTTTATTGATCTTATTCTTTCCTCTTATTTCACGTATTCTTTTCTCTGTCATCTCTATTCTGCTCTTAAGCAACTCTAAAGTTTCCATTTGTTTCTTTTTTATTTGACTTCTATTTCTCTGTTGAGATTGCCTAATCTTCTTATTCATTTCAAGTGTGTTTTCCTTTTCTTCATGGAGCATAGCTTAGTAGCTGTTTTAAAATCTTTTTCTTACAATTCTACAGCTAGATCATTGCAAAATTGGCACCAATCAATTGTGTTTTCTCCTGAGAGTGGGTCACATTTTCTTAGCTCTTCTATTTTGAAAAGTTTGGGATTATATCCTAGACAAAGTGAATGTTATGTTGGGTAGACTTTGTTTTCTGCTATAATCCTCTGGAAAAATGTTGATTTTTTTTTTCTTTAAGCAAGAAGCGACCTGACAAAGTTCAGACTGTACATTCTAGCTCATCGTCTGTGTGAAGTCATTCAAATCTCAGTTCATTTAAGGCTTTGCCGTGCTGATCTGGATTCGTTCCACACATTTCTAATGCACGTGGGTTAGGCTAAGACTTGGGCAGAATTATACCCAGAATTAGAAGATCCCATTCTCTGGTGCCCTCTCTTCTCAGCTTCTTCCCCCTTGTATGCTCCCCCCAAGTCTGTAAGGACTCCTTTCCTAGAAAGGTGGCAGGATTTCCATCAAAGCTTCGGTCATCTGCACCAGGCCACTTATCACTGGGGCCCAGCCTCATGGCACAGATGTGAGAGGAAAAACCCCAAAACCTGGAAATTCACCCTCATGTTCATTTCTTCTCTAAGTTCTTACTCGGCCATAGAATTTGCCAGCTTTTGTTTTCATTTCAGGTTGCCAAGTAATTGTTTTATTTTTTCCAGAGCTTATAGTTATAATCAGCAGGAGGAATGGGTTACACAGGGGCTTCTTACGTTACCATAAAGGAACTGGAATACCAATATCATTTTGAAAAGCTAAAAAACAAACAAAATTAAAGCAATGCAATGTTGAGATACATAACTATGTGATAAAACTATTTTTCAGAAAACCAAGAGAATGATAAAAACAACATTCTGGTGTTGGCTTCCTCTGGGGGAGATGAGGGGGTGCCATCAGGGAGGAAAGCACAGGTACCTTCAGAAGTGCTGGTAAATTCTTGACCATGGTGGTAGGCTCTTGGGTGTTCATGAGATTATGATACTTCATAACCTATATATCCGGAAAAGATGAAAACTAATTCAAAAAGATAAGTGCACCCCAGTGTTCAGAGCAGCACTGTTTACAATAGTGAAGACATGGAAACAACCCAGATTCCCATCAACAGATGATTGGTTTAAGAAGATGTAATATTTATGTACAATGAAATATTGCCCAGCCAAAAAATAAAGAATGAAATAATGCCATTTGCAGCAACATGGATGGAGCTAGAGATGATCATACTGTAAAGTAAGTCAGACAGAGAAAGACAAATATTATATCACTTATATGTAGAATCTACAAATGAATCTATATACAGAACAGAAATAGACTCACAGACATAGAAAACAAATTTATGGTTACCAGAGGGGAAAGAGTGTGGGGAGGGATAAATTAGGAGTATGGAATTAATGGATACAAACTACTATGCATAAAATAGATAAGCAACAAGGATTTACTGTATAGCACAGGAACTATATTCAATATTTTATAATAATCTATAATGGAAAAGAATCTGAAATATATATATATATATATCTGAAATATATATGTATATATGTGTATATATATATATATATATATATATAAAACTGAATCATTTTACTGTATACCTGAATCTAACATAATATTGTAAATCAACTATACTTCAATTTAGAAAAGGAACTTGGTAGCAACTCTTTTTCTCATTTTTCTGGCCTCTGCTGTGCCATTTTTCTCGCTAGACCCAAAAGATACCCCAGCAGCAAGACTGACTTTTATCCTGAATACCAGGTAGACCGTCTTCATTTCTTTAGCAAAACAGCTGAGCCTTTTTTCCTGCCTTTGTTGATCTTGCAAAGTGAGGCAAGTAGAATAGAGAAGAAAAGAAATAAGCCAAAGAGCCCTTCCCAAAGTGACAGGCAGGGAAATTGGTTGGCCTCTTCTACTGCACACACCGGTGAAATGTTGTCAGTTCTTTACACCCTTGCAGCCTGAGAGACTGAGTCTACAGGCTGTTCCCTGGCAAAGCCATAAGCAATTCGGTGAGCAGGAAGGTGATCCTGGTAGGTGTGAGGTCTGTGCATGTAGAAGAGGCTCCCCTTCCAGCCTGCCTTCTTTTCCCGGTCAAAGTTCTCCTCCCTCCCAGAGCAGCAGACCAGCAGACCAGCTCCCCCAGCAGTGGGCACCCAGGCCTGCTGCCTGTCCCCCAGAGCCTTCCCCTGCCCTCCCGGGCTCTCAGCTGAGGGATGCAGAGCAGTAGTAGGGCAGAGGGCACGGATCTGATGTCCCACCCCTGGCCCTCACCTACTCTGAGCCTTGCCTGTTGTTCATTAAAGCAAGAACTCCTTTTAGAGGGTGTGGGGCTTCTGCGCAGTCCTTTCACGGCCAAAATGACAATAATAACTATGCTAATAACTACTGTCCATTGACCACTTTCTGTTTACTAGTCCCCGTGCTGAGTATTCAACAAGCATGGCTTCGTCCGAGCCTTACAACAGCTCTACAACATGCATGTTAATGTCATCTCCATTTCACAAACGAGGAAAGTGAGTCTTAGAAGAGGGGTTCCTAAAGTTGGCCCGTCCACTGCCCAGTAGTAGGCAATGAGGGCCCTGCAGGTGAGCTGGGACCCGATCCTCAAATGCAAGGCCTTTGCAAGATTCTGCTGGAGCGGGAGCAGTCAAGCCAAATTCTTCAGAGTCATTTTTACCCACAGTTAAGGGCTGCTTAATAAAAGTCCTGTAGTTGTGTTCTTCAGCGTGGCCGCAGCCTCGTTCTCCTAACCTAGAATAAGCCCCCTGCTGGAGGCTGTCTCACGCGCTAGTCCAGTGTTTGGCTGAGAGGTCGGTGGCTTGGCAGTGCTATGTTGGTTCTGCTGTCCCTAAGCTTGTGTGGAGTTGGTAGGCCCACAGTTCCCCCACCTCTGCCTCATCACGTGGCACTGCCTCGGTTTGTGTTGCTGTCTTCTTGTTCTTGAGCGATATCTTACTATTTTTTCAGCTGAACGACTGTCTGATTTATTGTGAACTCTCCTCTTAATGAGGTATATTGACATATTTTCACCTATTATTTTCCAAGAACCGGATTTAAAAAATGCATGTATCATATTAGATTAAACCCCAAAAAAATGACCTCTATTCAACTATTTTTACCTTAGGTTAAACCATATGAAACTGACTATATTGAACTATTTTTGGTGTTTAAAAATGGCAGTTTCATATGGTTCAACCTAATAATTCAAATAGAGGTTATCCTTACCTCATCTGCTAGACAATTGTATGCATAATTCCCTCCAAATATGCATGTGCAGTGATACTTCCAATGGTGCTATTCTGCCTATGAATGTGTGTTTTCTGAATAATTTGCAACATACTATTATTACATGTTAGCTGTAAGAAAATTAGAAGTTACTTTGTAAGTTGCATATTTTTTGTTATCCAAGATCTTGATTGTAAGTGCCTATTCTTTCTTTATGAGCTGTCCACTTACGTTCCTCTCTAGTTCTTCATCATTACCTGGTTCCTTTTTCACTGTGAGGTGGGTAAGGATAGGACATATGGACCTTGGGGTCTTTTGTGTCACCTACTGGTTCTACTGGTAAAATGACTCTGGAATCTGTCTCTCCACCATCTTCACTACCAATGCTCTAACAGTATCTCTCCCACGGACAAATGCGGCAGCCTGTCAGCCTCTTCCCTGTCTCAGTCCCTACCCATACCCACCATGTAGCCTCCAGCTGGCCCCACCCTGTACACAGATCTGATCATGACCACCTCTTCAACAGTCCTGCAGTGCTTGCAGGGTATAAAACAATCCAGCCTTCCAACCTGCCTTCCTGGCCATCTCTGCCAACACTCCCCATCCCTAACCCCCACCCCACAGCCCCTCCCATTCCCTCTAATACTCACGACCCTTCTTATCCAAATCCTGACCCTCCATGTACTCAGGTACCTGGAGGGACTTTTTTTTTAAGTCTTCCCTGCCAGTTCTCCACCTGGCAAATTCTTCTTCCTTCAAGGCCACTTCCAATGTCACTGCTAGTGGGAGAGTCATCCCAGACCCTCCTTGGCAGCTCCTAGCTCCTCCTCTTTATATCCATAGTACTTTGTACACATTTTTAATTACACAGTTCCAGTTGAATGATAACTAGTTGTTGAAATGTGTAATCTATTTTTCCCACTTGATAATGTGCCCCCAGGGGATAAAGACCATGTCATATTTATCTTTGTATTGCCAGCATTCAGAAGAGTGCCTGGCACAAGGTCAGTGTTCAATAAATGTTCATTAATGTACAAGTCCCCCCCCCATAGTCTCTTGTGTGTGTAAGAGTGTACTGCGAAGCTGTTTGGCACAGCAGATTGAAAACTAACTAGGAGGAAGGATGCTTCAGTTCTAGTCTGGGATCGCCTGCCAGCTGGCTGCGTCACCAGGGGTAGCACTGATCTGGGTCTCAGTCTCCTCACTTGAAGAGGTAGGGGACATTTGAGTACCCTTCTAGGGCTCACATTCAATGATACAAAGGACTGATGGCTCATCCTTAAAAGTATCTCTTTTTCTAACCCAAAGGGAAAGACCTTATACCTCGTCTAAATAAGAGTCATGGCGTATAACCAGGAGCTTCTAGCCAAGACCCCCATCATCAGGTTCAAGGAACAGAACTTTTACTCCTTGCGGGATCATTGCCTAAAGAGAGGCCTGCTGTTTGAGGATGAGACGTTCCCTGCCAAGACTTATTCCATAGGTCTACCTCTGCTCAAGGGAAGAAACCTCTCCAACCTGACCTGGATGCGGCCAAAGGTGAGTAAGCCTGCCACCCCTCCTCTGCCAGGAACACATCCAGCTCCTGGGCCCTCTGAGTTGCATCCCATGGTACCTCCCACTGAGAGGATGGGCCTGAGACCTGGTTTTCAGGGATGGCCCAAACCAAATTGGAAGGAGACTGAAACTCATCTGGTCCCTCAGCTGCAGTGCTGTATCCACAGTGGGATGGAAAGACCCTGTACCAGGAACCAGGACCCTTGGGCTGTAACCCAGTTCTAACACAGCATGTCACTAGATTACACGCCTCAGTATTCCCATATAAAATATGGAAACCATGGGTGTGAAGATTATAGTAGCCATGGGGTCTCTTCAGTCTCCATAAATGAGCCCCTCTGTCAGTCAGTCTTCATCATCCTACATTGTCTTCAGGTATAACTATCTCTGTCTTTTTTCTTTCCCTGTTAGAATTTATTCAAAGGAAAGATAACATGTCAGTCACTTACATGATAGGATGAATTTAAACAATTGCCTTTCCTGTCTCATTTATATTTGTATTTTGTATCTTGTAGAGGCTTGGTCACCTATAAAGGAATTTTAGACATCAGCTGTAAAATTAGGGAAGGTATTCCAGAGCAATGTTCAAGCCCCACCCCCAGGGACCCCCCTACCCTGGCAGATGACCACCAACTCCACCTTGCAGCAGGTGAACCCTGTTGGTTCTCCTAGAACTATCTCAACTTTAGGGCATGAAGCTCCATGGGAAATTTCTTAGCCCCCTTAACATTCTCATAATCTCATCAGGTCTTTTGGATGCAAAGAGCCCGGGTGAGGGCCACTTTGAGAGCCCTGATGCTCAAACCTCCTCTTCACCCTTCCAAAAGCAGCCAGCAGAAGCTGGAACAGGAGGAAGGAATATAATGTCTAGTAAGCTAACGATATCAGCAGCCATTACTAAATGCTGATTAAATTCCAAGTGCTCTGCGGAGCACATTCAGTAAAGGCAGGTTAGGTTATGCAGAATAGTTACTTTCTGATGATGTAGAACAAGACCTGAACCCTGAAGGCACCAACTCTTGTCCTAACTCAGGACCTATTTGTAGCTTTGGGAAAGGAGAGGGTTACTAGGGGTCAAGTAGAGCTTAAATTGCTGCTTAAAGTTAGGATGGAGGTGCTTCAAGCTTCTAGAACCCATCTTACCAGCCAGAGGCAATAAGTCCCCAGCAGTGTTCCTTCTTCTGGCCTTCACTCCTGAGGAGTGCTGAGCAGAGAACTCTATTTAAAGCTTGGAGGGATTATATTTTTCTCCCTTTGTTATTTTCAGATGAGATTCTTTTAGAATGTTTTTTTCTTCACAAAGTACTGAGCAATAGACGTGAGACCGTATTTATAGTGTTGAAGAATTTATAACATTTTTATTTAGAAAGAGTTGAGAGCTCTTTGTTATCTAATTCCAGCAATGTCTCCACTGTGATGTCTTTTGGGGCCAAGGAGAAACTGAGGCAAACAGAAATAAAACGACTCACACAGAGTCATGCCAGGAGCCCAAAATAGAGGCCACCAGGGGCCAAATATGTTTTACTACCATTCTTCTTCTCTTCCAGGAGCTTACGCGTCATGACTTACAGGGGGTCACTCTTCATTCCAGCACTGCTTCTAAAATGTGTATGTGGGTGTGTCATTTTTCTTGTGCCCCTCATCACAACTGGCAGCACTTAACACTTGTATAGTTTTTCCAGGGCTTCTCATGTCTTTCCTTACTTTGTCTCCTTTGTTCTTTTCCAGTTGTATAAGAGAACAGGTTCAGACAGCTAATGTGACTTGCGCAATGTGACACAGAGAGTGAGGGGAAGGTCTGGGATTTAAACTAAAATTTCTGACTTCACATGCTGTCCTTTTCCTCAGGTAGGATTGTGTGTCCCCAACAGGACTCGCTGGGATTTTGAGGAATGAATAGTGAGTGAATGAATGAATGAATGAATGACTCTATCCACAGGTGCCTGACATGGGTTTCAAGCTCCATATATGGAATAGAGAATTGGGTTGACCTGTATTCCTAGTAAGATGGTAGGAAAAAAGGCCAGTGTGCTTCAACATGGTGATGTCCTTGACTGCCACAGCACACAGATGTGACTGTAAAGAGCCTTGGAAGAGGCACCCCCGCCAGCATGGCCAAATCCTGCCCGTTGTGGCCTGTACTTACGTTGTGCCGACCACATGGCAGGCCTGGCTTCAGATGCTTTGAGTCACTGAATCCTCACTGTAACTCTAGGAGGAGGTACAATTATTAGCCCCGTTGTAGAGATGAGAAACAGAAACAAAGAGTTAAATGAGCTGCCCAAAGTGTTAGAGCTGTGATTTGAACCCTGGAGTCTGGCTCTGAGACTTGTACTCCTAACATCACACTGTATTGCCTCCAACAAGGCTTCATCATAAGCTCATAATGTATTTGAGGCTCCTGCTTGCTGCTAATAATATTTTGTGCCCTAGTAGAATCTGCTGCCTCATCTGGATAAGCAGGAATCAATCTCCGTCTTGGTTCTGCCCTTCTTTCCATTTTTTTATGTGAAAAGAATGAAGATAAAAATGGTACCAGTACCTCACATGATTATTTTAGGGACTAAATGAAGACGATACTTAGAACATGGTCTAGCACACTGTGAACACTTGCTAAACACTCGCTACTGTTACCATGATCAGTGTGGGAGGGGTGGCGCAGGGTAGCAGCCACAGGGCTGTCCCCTGGGACTCTTTGGACCCTCACAGCCCAGTCATCTCAGCTTCAGGCCTCAGGCAAGTTCAGCAAACACTTTCAGGGAGAAATGTGGGTCAGAAGAAGCCATCTGGGGGGCCAGGGCCAGCCTGGCAGGGAGTGTGCATCGTGATTTTCTCCTCATGTCCTGCTGCCTATCCCTGCTTCTAGAAGGTTGCCTCCCAGTCTAAAGCTTGCTCAGTGCCTGTCTGGAGGTTCCAATGGGCATTCCTTAGGCTTCAATTATATAATGTCTGAGGTGGCATCAAGATCCTCAGACCGTCTCCACCTTCTAGGCTTTTCTAGACAATGTGGAAGCTTCATACACAAGGCAGCTGTCAAACCATCATGGATGTCACTCTGCCTTGAGTCCTCACCCAGGCTTGCCCTGGGGCAGCAGTCAGGGGTGTGGAACTAGGCTCCACTGTCTGTACCTCATGAAGAGGAGAAGTCGTCTCATGTCCCATAGTTCGCCTTCTCTCTCCCTCTCCCTCCCTCCCTCTCTCTTTTCTCTCTCTCTCTCTTTCTCCCCTCTTACCTCCCTCTTCCTTCTTCCTTCCCTCCCTCCCTCCAACGATTCATTGCTGCTGCAGAAGCTCCTTCAGCTTTTCTGGGTTTAAGGAATTTCTAACCCACTCCCCACACCCTACACTCCCCCGACCAGTAGGCAATCAGGCGACTGTAATTGTTCATGGAGCAAATGGCACTGACAGGACCCAACTCCTTGGCAACCTCAGTGCCTCCTACAACCCCCAGTCTCAGCAAGACATGGTGCTGAGAATGACACTTACATGTGGAGACTTTATATCATATTTCCCTGAACTAAATTTGATACTTCAAGTGACTTTCTTCTAAAAATTTTATTTCATGGATAAAAATAATACATTCCATTTATCAAGCATATACATATGCTTTTACAAGTCAAAGTATTTTATGTACAACATTTTATTTAGTTACCGAAACAGGCCTATGAGATAGATAATCTTATTAACCTCATTTAGTAGATCAACACTGTCCAGTAGAACATTCTGCAATGATGGAAAAGTTCTTTCCGCCCTATTCGACACAGTAGCCACTAGTCACATGCTGGTATTGAGCGACTGAAATGTGGCTAATGTTAACTGAAGTATTGAAGTTTTCATTTAATTAAGTTTCAATGTAAGTAGCCAATATGGCTTGTGGCTACCATATTGGAGAGCACAGAATTGTAAGTGTAGATCTTTATGGCAGAGTCACCAATGTGTCAGACTGAGAGATTGAAATTTCATCTTTGTCCCTATTGTTTAGTGAAAAACATTGCACTGCTCAACTGAAGAGTGGGCCGTGGGCCCAAAACATGCTGTCAGATGGGTGCTCAGGGCTCAGTATCCAGCCCCACTGTGGATTCTGGCCTGTGGCCATCCTGGAATGATGCGTTGCCTACCCAGGCAACAATGTTCATCTTCCAAGTAGCCAGAGCCAAGTTTCCGAAAGGACCATTTACTGGAAATGATTCACCTTGGGACTAAAATGAGTTATTCTGGAAAGGAGGGGGTTAACAAAGTGGTGCTGTGAATTAGGTTGTGAAGGCAACAGGTAACAGAAGGTGACAGAAAGAGAATATGCCAACAGCTAATTGCCGTTGAGCCAAAGAACTTTGATTCCAATAAAGCAAAGCTCTCGAGCAAAAATAGAAAAGGGAGTGACGCTGCCATCTGGCCCAGCCTGAACTCTGGCCACCCTCTGAAAGGGCCCGTGTCTCAACGCCAAGACACTAAACCTGGTGTTTCCTCATCCAAGAGCAGCACACCATCCGGCGAAGGGGCCTGAGGAGCCTTTGGAAAGAATGCAGAAATCACTGTCCAAAACATACGAAATGATGTCACGTTAGAAGAGACACCTCCAGAGATGATTGTAGGAGAGTGCCTGGTTGGGTACCACTTCAGATATAGGGATGGGTGTGGGTGGGGAGGGGGGAGAGGGAGAGGTGCAGATCTCCTATAGGATATAACCAATAGGAACCATATAAATCTATCTTATTGATAGATTTATTATAAGGAATTGGCACACGTGATTATGGAGGCTGGAAAGTCCCACAATCTGCTATCTGCAAGCTGGAGACCCAGGAAAATGGATGGCCAAGTTTAGTCTGAGTGGGAAGGCCTTAGAACCAGGGGGCTGATGATGTAATTCGCAGTCCCAGGGAGGGAGAGCCCCAGTGTCCTAGCTGAGTAGTCAGCAGAGAAGGAGTGAATCCTCCCTTCCCCTCCCTTTTGTTCTATTCAAGCCCTCAGTAGACTGGATGATGCTTATTGATGTTGGGGAAGACAGTCTGCTTTACTGAGTCCACTGATTCAAGTGCTCTTTTCATCTGGAAACAGTCTTCAGACACACTTAGAAATAACGTGTAGCCAAATAGCTGGGAACCCCTGAGCCAGTCGAGTTGACACATAAAATGAACATCACAGCTTCTTGCTGTGCAAATGATGTGGCAGAGACGTCAAAGGGCCAGCCCATCCCCCAGAATCAGATAATGATGAAGTCTGCTGGTGTGGTCCATGGGGAAGGCACTATGGGGTGGGGTGGAGTGCCTGATTGATAGCCTGCTTCCTATGGGACCAAGGATAGATCACTCAACCTCTCTGAACCTGCACTTTGCCCTGGCTGGGCGTCAGAATCACCCCAGGAGCTGTGTGACTCCTGAAACTGCCCCTCCAGCTGACCTACCCAATCCAAGTCACGGGAGGCAGCATCCAGCAGTCTCCATGTCTGCGAAACCCTGGGTGATCTGAGTCACCCAGGGTGGGGACTCTGCCCACTGCCAGTCTTATCACAATCACTCACTGCCTTGGTGTGCCCAGCCCACCGAGTGACAGGGGACCTGCCCAGAGCCAGGGTATTTGATCTTCCCAAACATCATGACCTATTTTCTCTGTGCGCCTGGTCTTGGAAAGTCAGCCTGGCAGACTGAGATGCTTCTGGGTATAAACTCTGTCTCGTCCTCCCTTTGGTCTTTCTGGCTCATCAGGACCCCTCTAAAGCCCAGGGTGAGGAAGGAATAGGCAGCTCAGGACAGGACACAAAAATACTAGTTCTGTGCCCAACTTTGATGCACACAATTCCAGTGTTTGCCCATGAACTGGATGTTGATGGTTGACTTTTGATGTGAAATAATTGCCATTTAATTTTCATAGCATTGAAGTATCCTTCTGTTCCCAATTAGCAAAAATTTGGGGTTTTTTTAATTTTCAATTTTATTATTTCGGGTAAATCAGAGAAAATTGTTTTGCATTTATCAAACGTCTTCGTGACATTTATTGGAAAGATGTCAGTTTTCTCCTTTGGCCCATGTAAATGCCATTTTATATAATTAGGTATCCTGATAGGAAGCCATCATGGCATCCTGCATTTCTATGGCAAACCTTTCTTGATGGTTGGTTGTATAAATTGATTATTGATTCATTTGCTGGGTATTTATTTCAGTATGATATGTGTGTGTGTGTTTGTGTGTGTGTGTGTGTGTGTTTTCTCTCTCTCAGGCTGGGCATTCAGGCTGTGCTGACTTCTTAATGGTAGCAGGATTTTTTTTTTCCTTTTTAAACACTGAAACTAAGTGACACAGGAATTGTTTATTCCCTGAAAGTTTGGGAGACCTCAACAAGAAAATCATGTGTACTTAGATGCCTTGACAGGGATATTAGGGAGGTATCCTTTGATCATTTAAAAATACTATTCCAAGATTATTGATTTTCAAGTTATTTAGCAACTTGGATCATTTTGGGCATGTTCATTTTTGTCAGAAAATCATCAGTATGTTTAAATTGATTAGCATCATATTTTACATCATCTTTTTATATTGCTAAAACCTCCTTTCTATTTCTAATTTTATTTGGATTTCTCTACCATATTAGCCAAAGACTGGGCCTAAGTAAACCTTCTCCCCAAGTATAACATATTTGCTTTCCTGGTCTTGCTGTTTTTCTCTTTTGTAATTCACCAGTTGTTCTCTTTATCACTTCCTTCCGCTACTATCTATAAGTGGACTGCTTAATTCATGTTTTTATTCTCTCTCGTTTAATAATGAATGCATTTGAGGCGCTAGATTTATCTATGAGAATGGTCTTTTTAATTTCACAAATATTACCAAAGAAGGGAATCAATATTTATTGAACAGGTACCGTGAAGGACACCATGCTAAGTATTTCACATCCTTCCTCATTTGTAATATACAGAGACTCGTGCTTTGCAAGTCTGTCTGGGGAAAATGGTCAATGAAGCATCTAGTCCTCAGCGAGGTTTGGTTAACAGTGGTTAATAAGGTTTTGGAAATGGCCCTGGTGGCTTTCTCATTTGAATCTCCCATTTTACACATGAAGAAACTGAGGCTCAGCAAAATAAAGGAAGTTACTCAAGGTCACCTAGGGTGAAACGCAGAGCAGGAGTCCACACTAGGCCCATCGGAGCTGACTCTCAGCCCACCTGCCCCTCTTCTGCCCATCATCAGGGGTCAACTGAGAGCAGAAGGTGAAGCTGCGGCCTTGACTGGGTCAAGAGAGCTGAGCCACATTGTCTTCGATCCCTTTCCCAAACACGATGGCCTTTACCCTCATTGCTAATTTCTGTGCTTGGAGGATCTTCAGCTGGCCTTGAGTTCCCTTTTCCAGTAGAAGGGGAGGGGACAGCTAGAGCCACTGCAGTGCCCCGCGTTGTGTTGACACTGGGAGAGTCACTCTATCCACGGCCCTGCGGGGAGTACTATCCTTCCTGTTTGTGATGGGAAAGACTCAAGTTCTGCATAGCCAAGGGCACAGCAGAGGGTCAGCCAGACCTGAGAGCCAACCCGAGGGCCTGGACCTGAGCACCCCGCTCCTGGCCATCAGAGAGAGCCGGTTACTTACAGAGAAGGTGGTGGAAGGAGGTCTGGTGGGGTGGGCGGACTGACATGTTTGCAGACATGCACACCTTTGTTTGCCCCTTGGCGGCTCCACCAGGAAACCGGCAGTTGACGAAAGAGGAGAGGGCTGACAGATCTCACGAGGCACAGAACTCCATGTGTTCGTGGCTGTTGAGCAGAAGAATCCATTTCTACTTTGCAGCCCTGTTTTCGGAGCATGTATTTGTCAATGTGAAAAGAAACGATACAGGAACAATGACCAAATTATACAGATTCATACGCAAATGGAAATCCAGGAAGGACTTCCCAGGGAAGATGCTGAAGATAATCGTATGGGCTCCGGGGAGCGGGAACACCTAGAGGCTGCCTGAGCTCAGGTCTTCTAGAATCAGTCTGTGCACTAGCTGGGGAGTGGGCCAAGACCAGAGGCATGCACATTCTGCCTCCTGTACAGCACTTGGCTGGACTTGAACCTGGAGCCCAGAATGTCTACGCTGACTTCTGGGAGGTGACATTTCACAAGAGAAGTGTTACTATGCTTATGAAAGTTTCCTCTAATAAATGTATTCTATTCTTTTTTGATTGTTTATAAATTCTTAATAAAGCACTGCTGCTGAGACCAGGATGGCTGATCATTT